GTTTAGCAGGCCAATGCTCAAACTACTCAGCTATCCCTCCCCCCAAATGACAGAACCACGCTTAGGCTGTGTCTACACTATGGAGACGATATACCAGCATAGCTATGTCCATGTAACCCCATACAGTAGATACAACCTACACCGACGAAAGGGGTTTTTCCCTTTAGTGTAGGACCATCACCTCCCTGAACTAATTTAGCTACTTCAACGGAGGTATTCGTTTGTCAACGTAGCTGAACCTGCATTGGGGGTTAGGTCAGCATAGCCGTGTCAGTTGTGTGTGTGGGGGGGGGGGGGGGAAGACCCTTGACCTATGCAGCGTGTCAACCTAATTTTTTAAGTATAGACCAGGCCTTAATTAGATCATGTGCACATTACCACTCGGCTGCTAAGCGTCTGACCCCAAGAATCCACCTCCACAATGCCCGTGCTGCTATGATTACAGAGGCTGGGGTTTTAATAACAATACTTTGTGCTTATATGGAGCTTCCCAACTTCAAACAGCTGAACAAACATTCACTAATTAATCCTGCATGTCAGAGAATCTTCCTAAACTTAGCCCAGAACCGTGATCTTTATCCTGGGTCATAAAACAGTCTCCTGGCTCTTTTCCCCCTGTTGTTTCTTTCCCTTTGAAGGCAATCGAGCTGCCTCTGTCAGCAGAAGGAACCTGGGAGCTATTCCAGCCTCCGCCCTGTTATTTGAGGAGCATCAATATATTCCTGGTGGATCCTCTGGTTTTCACAGCGGAGTGGTATGATTTCTCACTCAGCCTCCTGCACTTACAGCCACGCCTCACCCCCCTCTCTGGTTCTCTTGAGCGGCGGTTCTCAAACTTTTGTACTGGTGACCCCTTTCACATAGCAAGCCTCTGAGTGTGACCCCCCGCCCCTTATAAATTTAAAACACTTTCTAATATAATTAACACCATTATAAATGCTGGAGGCAAAGCGGGGTTTGGGGTGGAGGCTGACAGCTCACGACCCCCCCATGTAATAACCTCACGACCCCTGAGGGGTCCCAACCCCTAGAACGCCTGACACAATGGGTTTGGAACAGTTGCACGCTCCCCTAAGAGGGTTACGTAGACAGCCAGTGCTCCCCGCCACCCCCGAGCACAGGATCAATTGTACTCAGCCCAGCTCTCCCCTGGCCAGGGAGGCTTCCCACTCCCTGTACCGGGCACAACTGACCCAACACACGTAGAGGATGATCTCAAATTATTACTCTGTGTATTACGGTAGCTCCCAAAGGTCCCAGCCAAGATCGGAGGCTCATTGTGCTAGTACTGTACATAGAATCATAGAATATCAGGGTTAGAAGGGACCTCAGGAGGTCATCTGGTCCCACCCCGTGCTCAAAGCAGGACCAATCCCCAGACAGATA